CACTTAAATGTTTTTGTTGTTGTTGCTGGCTTTTTTTTTTTTTTTTTTTTTTTTTTTTTTTTTTGATCTTATGTATAGCAAATGTGGCTTCTTCTTGTTAGATTTGGTTCCGTATTCCACTCTACCAAGGTTTCTTTGTGGTCTAGATATAGCTTTTCCTCCCAGCTCTGTGCCACCTGCAACTATTATCAATGTACAATGTACCAGAAATTAAGTGTATTTTTAATTTTTTTTTTTTTTTTGGAATGTACAATAGCTCAAGGCTTGGATTTGCTGCTGGAGTCTTGCTCCCAAGCAGATGTTGACCCAATTATCAGCATTCTTTGAATATAGTTATTCTATGGTTATGATTCCTGCCATTTGGACTCTTCTTCTCCACATACTGACCTCTTTGTTCAAAAGTATTTCATTAGAGTCCTTGATAAATGCCTGGGTAAAATTTATGTAAGCAATCTATGCTGGTAAACTTGTGAAATCCTGGCTAGAAATAAACTTGGAGGTCATCTTGTCAAACCCACTTACTTAACAGATGGGGACATTGAACCCCAGAGAGGGAGCAGGTGTCTCTCAAGTTCATGCATCTATTTAGTGGTAGAGTTGAGGCAAGAATATTGGTCCCCCATCTCAGATCCAGTGCTTCTCTCTGATCATCATTGAAGTACTTGGAAGTCAATTGAGCCAGTATTGTTATTCCTACCAGTGAACTGAGGCTCAGAGAGGTTAATTAGTATTATTCAGATTACACACAAAAATAAGGCAGGGCAGATTGGGTTCAGTGCTCTGATTCATAGGTAAGGTTTTTTAAGGAATGCAAGGCCATTTTTGAAAGGAAGTTTTCAATAGTGTACCAGTACAGTAGGGTCTCTATGAGGTCAGGTAGGCTTTAGAGTTAGATCCATCATTTTTTTTTCTAGTTGGGCTTTGTGGCAAAGATATTTAAGGAAGAGGAGGCAACAAGCAAGGAGACCCTAATTCAGAGAGTTTGGGATCTCCAGTTTGGTAGTAAAACCAGCACCAGTAAGGTGATTTGGGCCAAGCATAGTCCCAAAAATGTAACACAAATTCGGTGAAACTTAAGGGTAGGGAAGAAATGCCCGGAGCAGAGGACATGGTCATCAGAGGTGAGGAATGCTGCCCTAATACCTCAAATATGTTGTAGGAAATGATTTTTTTTACATTTTTATTGTGAAAATGTATTCTCGAGAACATCTGTCAACACATACTTGTTCACAGTAGTTTTGATTTCTGAAAGGGCAACACCCATGCCTTATTCTCCAGTCACAAAAGTCCATATCTGATATACAGTAGGCTTTCTGCAAATGTCTGCTCAGTGAAATAAACAAGGAGGCAGGTGTACCTCTTGGTGAATGACTGACCTGGGATGGTGCTCCAGGGTGCCGCAGTTTGGGACAATCAGAAATCACAAAACCAGTTTTCATCCCATTCAGAGATCATCTGGGGAATTGTTTTCCATCATTTTGGCCTGGTAAATGGGCGCTGCAACATGTTCCCTTACCTCCGGATGTGGCAGGGCCAGAAAACTCTAGGTTGGTGAAGCACCATGCCCCAAGGCAGTTACCTGTACCATGTGGAAATGGAACAGACCACCCAGTAAGACGGTGGGTTCTTCATTTCTGGGGAATTTTCCAGGAAATTGAGATGACCACATTTTAGACATGTTATAGAGACACCTGCATTGAACATGAGGTTGCAGTAGGTGACCTCAAAGTTTTGCTTTTGCCCCAGTTCTGAGATCCTGAGTCAACCCTATAATAGAAAGTGCTTAGATGGGTATAAAGCAGAAAAGTAAAGAGCCATTATTATGCATGCACGAGGAAGTGTGTCAAGTATATATTTCTGTGACGCTATGAAATTTTCACCCTCTCCATATCTACAAATTCGCGTCTGTGTTCTTTCTCACCTCCCTCACACCTCACCACGTGTCACCTGCCCTCTCTAGCCCACTGCTCTCTGGGACTGTGTCTGTCCCACTCTGAAACCTTGAAGACTTCCTCCCTTCTTTGTACTCCAAAATCCATGGTCTATCTCTTCTACATTAAAGAAAAATCTTCATTTGACCTTTCTGCCCCTTCCAACTGGCATGTGTCTCCTCGACTACTGAAATAGGTTGCTTTTATCTTCTGTCTTAATTTTTGGGCTTCTGATCTCAGCACTTCATTGACTGTAAGTTTCGGGGGTCACTAATTATCTCATCTTGGCAAAATTCAAATGCCTTTCCTCTAAAAATTCTAATCCTTTTTGGAACTGTTGAATGACATTTATTAATAGCTGCCCCATTCTTTTCTCCACCCTCCATTCCCTGACCACTTAACATTCTTGTTCAGTGCCTTCGTGATGCCTGGCTCCACAATTTCTTCCCTATCCCAGCCATTCTTTACCTCATCTATTGGTTTTTCTTTTTGCTCTCCTTTAAAGTTCTGGTGCTGCTTTTTTAGACATCTACTTTGGGAAACCTTGCACACACACACACACACACACACACACACACACACACACATGCTTATAATGCCTTTTTGCTTTTAGGCAGAAGCTGGTTGAATTTACATTTTTAGCCTCCACCTCTTCTCTCTTTGATTGCTTAAGCTGTTAACCTCCCCTGGAGAATTCACTGGTGATTGAAACTTGGCTTGTTGGAGATAAAACTCACCATGGCCACCTCCTGCTTCTCAAGCAGATACTCAGCAGCCTGTTAGCATGAGTGAAAACCCTCTTGGGACATTTCCCAAAGGGGAGGCATTTTTGAACCTGTCTCTTCATCATCTATACCTGACTCCTTACCTGATCTTTCTCTCTCTTTACTTCAGTGTTACTTGTTTTTGTATGTTGTCAGGAAGCACCCTAGTCCACTCCATGACCAGACCAACTCTTGGATCAACAAATGTACCTTCAGATTCAGAGTCACCTTGCCCATACTCTTCAAACCTTCCATCATTCCAGCTGCTTCTTTAAGAGATTTGAGTGAATCTTCATTTCACAAAATTATAAATTTCTTACCCTGGCCCCCAGGGCCCTCAGGCTGTCTGCCAAACTGCTTCCTGGCCCCCTCCCACAAGAAGTCCTCTCAGCTCTACCCCAGCCAGCCTGCCTTCATTCCACAGTGGTGCTTGTTCATTTCCAACATGTCTGAGACCTTCTGTATACATTTCCTAGGGCTGCTGTAACAAAGCACCACAGACTGGAGGCTTAAACAGCAGAAACTTATTTCATCATGCTTCTGGAGGTCTGAGACCAAGGTGTCAGCATGGTTGGTGTCTTCTGAGGCTTGTCTCCTTGACTTGTACTTGCTGTCTTTTCCTCCGTGTCTTTCTTTACATCTTTTCCCCTCTGTGAATGTCTGTGACCAGATTTCCTATTCTTTCTTTTAAGTTTGTTTATTTATTTTGAGAGAGAGAAAGCATGCATGCATGCAAGCAGGGGAGGGGCAGAGAGAGAGAATCCCAAGCAGGCTCTGCACCATCAGCCTGGGGCTCAATGTGGGGCTCAATCTCATGGACCGTGAGATCATGACCTGAGATGAGAGAGCAAGAGTTGGATGTTTACCCAACTAAGCCACCCAGGTGCCCCCAAATTTCTTATTCTTATAAGGACATCAGTTGTATTAGATTAGGACCCACCCATATGACCTTGTTTTTATCTTACTTACCTCTCCACATGCAGTCATATTTTTTTTAAAAATTTTTTTAACGTTTATTTTATTTTTGAGACAGAGAGAGACAGAGCATGAACGGGGGAGGGTCAGAGAGAGGGAGACACAGAATCTGAAACAGGCTCCAGGCTCTGAGCTATCTGCACAGAGCCCGATGCGGGGCTTGAACTCATGACCTGAGCCGAAGTCTGCCGCTTAACCAACTGAGCCACCCAGGTGCCCCCACATGCAGTCACATTTTGAGGGACTGGGGGCTAGGACTTCAGCTTAATGAGTTCTGGGAGGGACATCATTCAGCCCATAATGTCTTCTCTTCTCGACTTACCATTTGTTCTTTCGTATTTCTCTTTGTTCTTTCTCTCTGTCTGCTCCTCACTGCCATCAAACCCAGTGGTCCCATTTCACTGTTCTCACTGGATGGTCTCCCCAGTATCACCCTATTGAGATGTGTTGCTTCATGAATATTCTTCTTTGTTGGGTCCTTGATATGCTTCTATGCCTCTGGTTTGACTGAGAGCAGGGGCTTTGTCTCTTGTCTTTTGAACACAGCTCTTGACCTGGGAGGCACTTGAGAAATGCCATTGCTAAGTCATTGCATATCCCTTCTCAAAAGCTGCCTAACATACCTACTCCTCTGACTTCTCAAGAAGCCTTTTAAGGGGAATGAGTTTTTCCCAAGTGGTAATGGAGTCTGTACACACTGACTCTGTTGATACCAAGGAGAAGAAAGGCTGAGGCTCCACACAGGTGACATCTGGCTAGCTCACCCCTTTTCCAAAGTGGGCAAGCAGGGAAGGGCATCTGGGAAGGAAGCCCTGAAAGTGGTGGTGAATTCAATGATTTTTCTGTTGGAGACAGGAAGGACAGCTATTCCCTCCGAAACTTTGGAGAGGTGCTATTTCTTTGACTTAAGGGGGTGAAAATTCTGGATAAAACCCTCTTCCTTTCAGAGTGGTAGTTGGCCGAGAGGCTCATCTTGTTGGAAGTAGAACTGAGCCCTTGGAGGGAAGCCAGTGGATCTTGGTAGAAGACCAAAAGGAAGACAGCTGGGTGCCATGTATTAAGAGTGGTGTGATGGTGTGCCTGCCGAGCTGTGGGTAGCATCTCTGGTTGGACTCCTGAGTGAGGGCCTTGGAGCTGGGCTGATGCTGTCAGCCTTTTCCCCTAGTGGTATGACAGGTGTCTGGAGGCTATGCCAGGAAACTCGCCATTCACTTAAAGATACACCCACTCCCCTTATCCTCCCTTCTTTCATCCTTCCATGCTTCCTTCCTCTGCCTTCATCCTTTATTCTCTCTTCCCCTACCCCGCTCTCTCCTCCATTCACTGTCAGGAAGGGCCATGCCAGAAGGGCCCGATCAGCGTGTCATGGCAGCGACAGAGGCTAGCAGCACCGGCAGCTTCCACAGTGAGTCTGGATTTTGTTTCTGGGGCCAGGGGGCTGGGCAGGGCCGTCCACACACAGACCGACAGCTTGCAGACTTTGGAGAGGAACTTCCATGGGCGGGGGATGCTTCCCACCTCTCCTTCCCTGCCTCCCAGCAGGCGGGGGGGCATCATTTCACTTCCATGGAAGTTTCCTGCCAAAGCCATTGATGTGCTTGGGATATCTCATGGGGAGGAAGCATGGTGGGGGGTGGAGGGGCCATGGTCTGCTAAAATTAGGTGCACATCTGGGAGAGCCGCCGGAGTTTAAATGGCTGCCAAGGATTCTGTCCAAGCCTGCGTGTGTGGTGAAGGCTGGAGGCTCTGCATGGATGATGGTTTGGCTGCTTTCTTGCATTTCAGGAAGTGTGACCTTGAGTTTTGAGTACACTTTGGGTGCCTACACTCCCTTTAAGGAATTGAGAATGCCACATAGGCTAAAGGGTCTGAAGAAGCAGGGGTCTCCCTGTTGACCTGAAATGAAGCTTGTCTAAGAAATTTGATGTTTAAGACAGTTTTTATGTAGCACCATGACTGAGGCATCTCCCCGAGTATTTGGGGGAAGCTTTTTCCCATCCCCATGTTAATTTCTGTGGTAATCTCTGGCATGGAGAATGGACATAATGCGGAGTCAGAGTTCCATCTGTCTTGCCTTGTTCATCAAACTGAACTGGATGGCTTCCTTCCACTTTTCGTCTAGGGGCTGTTTCCTTCTGTTTTGGGAACGGTCCACTTGGGGAAGTAGAACTACAACATTTACCTATCCAACCTTAAAAACCTCACCCAGCCTAGGAGGACACATGTCCGTCTCGAGATGTTTTCCCACAGGCAAGAGGCTGTTTTCGGACACTATGGGGTGTGTAGTAGCTCATTTTGAAGTGAGAGACCTCCAGTCTCCAATACGTGATATCATCCTGATGCTGCAGTCTCATGGGCAGGTGCACGGGGGTGCTTTTCCAATTCCATTCATTTCTCTTGTGATACGGTTAGGGAGGTAAATTAGGCATAGCTTCCCAGGTTCTCTCAGGACCACGTTTTTATAGATATCTCCTCTTGGCACTGTTACTAATAACGGCCTTACAGTTCAGGATTTTTTAACGCCAACAGCTGTGTAGAGTTAGAGTTTATCAGAATGACCATGTTTGCTAGCCTTGTGAGAATTTTGAAAGCAGGGCCATTATAAGAGATTAATCAATCTCTTCTCATGCTTTTAACATCATATGTAATTCCTTCACCTCGGGGTAAAACTCTTGGTTTGAGGAGTTGATGGCTTTAATTAAAGTATCAAATTGGTCAAATTTATTAATTAAATTCAACAACTACTTATTATTAATCAACTTTGTATATTTGTCTAAACCTGGACACCTCTGAGACTGAAAAGGGAAGCTATTAATAATTAAATTGACACCACAGGCATAAACTGTTACCTTCCCTGGTAAATTAGGACACTGTCCATATATCATGAGCTATTCTCTGGGCTGGGGGATACAACTGTGATAAAAACAGGAAAAAATCTCTGCCCTTAATAAAGGAAATAGAAAATAAAGATAAAGTAGAATATATTATATGTAAAAGAATAATAGATCCTTTGAAGAAAAATAAAACAGAGAAAGAAAAAGGAAGTGTTTGGTGGTACTACTGGTGGTGGTGATAGTTGTGTATGTACGTGTGTGTGTGTGTGTGTGTGTGTGTGCGTGCGCACACATGCACAATTTTAGACAGGGAGGCCAAAGCATTTGAGTAGCCTAAGGCATATAACATACCTTAAGTTATATAGTTGACTTAATTTAGCCAAAGAGGGCTTTCACGGCTTGGATAAAATTTATCTGAAACAAGTCAGGTCTAGACATTATGACTCCAAAGCAAGAAATACAAACCTCAGAATTACAAAAATTGAGAAGGGAGAAGGCGGCCATGGCATTGGAAGCATACCTTGTCTGCTCAGTAGTTAGGTTTCACCTCTGGCTGACATGACTAAGCCATTGTCAAAGTGAGTAAGGCTGTGGGCTTCTCCACTTGGGAGAGCATCTTATAGAATGCCCCTCAGTCTTTGACATGCACTAGCCATTCAGGACATCTTAAGGGCTTTTCTTCTTCCACCTGGTGTCCTCAGGGGTGGTTTGGGATGGCAGCTTATCTTTGATGAGCACCTACACCAAACACTTGGATAGGGACTTTAAAGAGGCTGATTTATTTAATCTATACTGTTCCCATGAATATTTATCATAGTGCCACTTTAAGGATGAGAACACTGACGTTTAAACACAACACTGGAAAACAGTGGAGCCAGGATTTAAGCCTACATTGAGCCAAATCTGAAATCCTGCCTCTATCAGTTAGTCTCTGCATTCACCCAAAGATACTGGTTGGCAGGAAGTGGGAGAAAGAAAGGAAAGGGAGGACTTCCTAGGTTATCCCCCAAGGTCCTGCGAATGGGCTTATTTGCATGGCTGGATCAGGAGCAGTAGATATGTTGGGGTGGTTGTCCAGTCTTTGCTGATTGTGCATGAAGGGACAGCAAATTCCGCTTCTCCATGTGTCGTTGTCATTGGGAATGGGGATAGGCATGGAAAATCGGGGACGGGGGCATGAGAGCAAGTCTTCCTGTTGTGGCGTCCATCCTAGGCAGAGGTGGAACTGGACTTCAGCGTGTCAAGTGTTTCTGGGTTTCACGCACGTTGGAAGGAGGGACGATGCATGGGTCTGTGTATAGATAATAGGGGTGGGGAGAATGCATGCGGAGGTCTGAGGCTGGATAAAGGTTTTTTTGACAGGGGTTTGAGTGAAGGGTTCAGCTTGAAGAGAATCCTAAATTTCCTGCCTGCCTTTGTGAATGGAATCCACAGACAGACTGCATCGAGTCTTGGGACTGCTATTAGCAAGAAGCAGGATGTCTCTGGACCGTATCTTATTATGGTTATACTTAACATCAATCTCACCATGTAACCTTGTATTTATGTGTAATGAACATTTATGTGCTTCCCAGGAAGAAAACTTTAGGTAGCATCTTACTTTCTGCACAAGCTTGGTAAGGCTATATGGCAAACAAACCATCATTTATATGCACCAGAGAGAGCCTCTTTAGCAAAGTGAAGAATTACTTTGAGATGTCAGTAACCCTATCCAGTTTTCCTTTCATGCCAAAAGAGAGTATTTCCACTTGTGATGCTGTTATTTTCTTGGACTTCTAGAACACATTTATCCAGAGGTTTCAGTGAACGTTAAGGCAATGTCTCTTTCAGTGTCACGATATGTGTCATATGGGTAGAGAGAAGTTATTACTCTGTCATTTGCCAAGGGTTTTCTTCATCACGACAGTATCAGTGTCACTTAGGAATATACTCCAGGCACGTGAATGTCTCTCACTGTGGTCTTCCAACTACTGGATTATGACTACCCCATCAAGTCTTGGTTCTTTACTGCTTATGGCCTGTTGTCTGGTTTCCCTTTATCACTTTGCTACTCAGGGCTAAGAAGCAAAACATCTTTCATCTTCCCCCGTGGGGTACTCTCCTCTGACTTATCCCTCTGAGTCCCCTTTCTGGAAAAAACAACCAAGCAAGCAGGCAAGCTACCTTTTCTAAGATACTGACTCATCCCAACATCATTTGGCTTCTCTATTCTGCACCCATGTCCCATGGAGTCCCAGTTGGGAGCAGCAGTAGAGATCAGAAAAGTCTGGTTCTATTTCAAGCTGACAAGGATATCCTTCTTTTCACAGGTTATAGAAGGCCCACCCTGCTACCCTGCTACTCACACGTGCAGGGTATGCTGTAATTCTAGGAAATGTTTAGTTGCAGTTGGAAGGACAGTGCCAAGGCCTTTGACACAAGTCAGTGAGAGCATGTGGTCACAAGTATGCCCCAGTCCAAAGACCTCCTTAGAAACCTGATTAGAGACATACCTTTTGCACTAGAAGCATTCAGGGTGTGTAGGTCTCCACCCAATTGAACCCAGTTTTTCTGAGGAACCTGAGAACACAGACCTGTCTCTCCATGCCCAGGGCACACAACAAGAGCTTCGGATGAGTGTTTTCAACCCTCTCTACATGTCGGTGTGCTTCAGCTATCACTGAGTTTGTGGGGTGGATCAGGATGCAGCGAAGTGTCCATGAACTAGAGAACATTATAATACATACTAGGACTTTGACAGTTTAACAGCCCTGACATTGCAGAATGTGATTTCCTACCTTCTCGTTGGTTCCCAAGCCTTGCAAATCAAGATAGTTAAGATAGCCTCTTAGGGGGAACCTAAAATTATGCAGTATCTCATGTCCTTATAGGTTCAGAGCAATGAGCTGGTGTTCCCAGGGCCAGTCCTTTGATTCTCACCTGGAGATTTATCCAGAGATGGGAACTCTGCCCTTTAAGTTGTAATTACTCTTTTTTTTTTTTAATTTTTTTTTTTTCAACGGTTTTTTTATTTTTTTATTTTTGAGACAGAGAGAGACAGAGCATGAACGGGGGAGGGGCAGAGAGAGAGGGAGACACAGAATCGGAAACAGGCTCCAGGCTCTGAGCCATCAGCCCAGAGCCCGACGCGGGGCTAGAACTCACGGAGCGTGAGATCGTGACCTGGCTGAAGTCGGACGCTTAACCGACTGCGCCACCCAGGCGCCCCTGTAATTACTCTTTAGACTCATAACGCCCTTAGCATTTTGCTTTCTGGTGATCTGAAAATTGATGTCTCCTATCAGAGCAAACTCCCAGAACAGCAGGACAGGAGTTTCCTGGAATGGGGTGGAGCTCAGGTCTTTAAGTAAAGAAGCTGAGGGGTTCAGAGGGAAGAGGACAGTGAAGGAAGGGAATCCTTCTAGATGTACCATCTGGGACTGTTTGTTAAGAAAACCTCCCTAGTCTTTGTGATGGGATTCTGTACTCCTTGCTCTGGACTTTATCTTGAAGTTTATTTCTGCAGTTCTTTCGGGACAAATGATTCATGAGAAACCCATTCATCTGGAAGAATTGAGACAGGACCTCCTGT